CATCTTTTTCTATAGTAATCAGTAGTAGCTGTGAATGCTAGCCAGTAAACTCAGTCCTAACAGCTGGCTTTTTCCAAATTATTAGGAGTATTTGAAGGTGCTGACTGAAGTGAGGGAACCTAAAATATTAGTTAGGTAGAATGATGGACTTCACTATCTTGAGGGTAATTCAACTGCATTGGGGAGTGAGTTAAACATTGTATCAGAAATGTCCAGTGATTAATATTTGTTTGTTTCTCCTTTTGTATTTTAAACAAAGAATTCTTTAATTGTCAGCTGCTCTCCTGTCTCTGCAAATAGCTGAAGCCCTCAATTCCTTGTTATTCACAGGTGAATGTAGCAGTTATTACAGACATGTGTTATGAGCAAACCTGGGGCAAACAAATCTGCTCACAAAAAACCACAGGCCCATTTAATGCTGATATTACTTCCCCATGAAACACTAAACCTTGAGTATTAGAACACTGATGTACTTTGTTCCAGTTTAGCCATATTCATTTGAGGTTAAGCAGATAATCCTGTGAGCTTTGAGTTTTCTTTGTAGTTTCTCATTTCTCTGGTGGAAAATAAGCTGCAGTACGGTCTCAGAAATGAACGTAATGCTTAAACTCTCAGATGCTGTGGTTTAGTGATAAATGCTTTGCAGAGAAATCCTTGCTCCTAAATAACATTTGGAAGGAAGATAGAAGCAACTTTATGTTGGTGATTATGGACTTCAAGGCTAATTGTAAGTTGTAATATGCACATATTTTTATACATGAATTAATAAAAATTTAGATAAGTTTTAGCATGTAAAAGATGTCTAGGAAATCTGTGTTTGGGGTGATAAGTAATTATTTGCAGAAAGTGATGTGATGTGCATCTTTTAAGAGCACTGACATAATTCCATTTTTTAGAAGGACTGATACAGATTCCAAACCAGGAAATTATTTTGAATTTTTGATATGTAGGTCTTAGGTGCCTATTATTTGGTTTATCACAATACTTTGTTCTTGTGCAGAATTTGGCATGAAGGGTTTTTTGGGGTTTCTCCATATACAAGTTATTACCATAAATTATGACATGTTAGTGGAAAGAGGTCCAAAGACATCAAGTTCTTTGTTTCTCCCTGAGCCTGGCTCTGTAAGAACAGACTTATAAAAACTAAGCTGTTTTATCTGGTATATAGTAGATTATCTTCAATAGTGAGATAAGAGGGAACAAGCTGACCATTCAGAAATTACTGTTGTTGACTTATGAAACAGATGGAAAAGAGTTTTTGTTAAGCTGATTGTGTAAAATGGAGTGTAGCAAAGGAATTTGAATATGAAAATAAACCTGTCACAGAATATTACAGCATATTGACATGTGATTTAAGCATTTACAAGGGGGATTGATGCTGTACAGAGATGCTTATTAGATATCACAGGAATGATTTTTGCAGTTGCAAAAATAGCAGCTTTTATATTGTTAGATTGAGATGGGTGTTGTAAATACTAATTTTCAAAGCATGAATCAACTCATCCAGGTTTTTGATTTTAAAATCCTTTCTCCTATTATAATTAATATTCAGTTTTAGCAGTGTGATCTCAGTGTAAAATCAGCTTATCTTTCAGGCTGGCATGGATTAGGAATCTTGTTTTGATAAACAGTCTACAGACCTGAGCAATCATAGGGCTTACATGTCAACTTTGAAATAAGGACATGTAACAGTAAATGGGCTTGACTGAGTTTTGCTGTGAACAGATATACAGAGCCTGACCATACAGGAAGCTCAGACTGTAGCTGTGGCTTGGTACATCCACATGAATTCAGTTGTTCCACTTCAAGCAGTAATTTACTCATCTTCCTAGGTATATGTGCTAAATTAAAAAAAAAAAAAAAAACAAACCTTTTTTTTTTACTACTTGTGCTGTTGATATCCTTTCAGACAAAGGATTGTACTTAAATGGTTTGGAAAATTAAATGTTGTGATCAATGATCTAAGAACTTATTTAGGACCAAATTTGTTTTACAAATAAGACAAACCTTTTTCCCTCATTCAACAGGTTTGCTGTTTTTCACTTTGTACCAAGTGAAAAACAAAGCAAAGCATATTTTAATGACATAAAGATTCTGTGTTCACATGACAAGCATCTTTTCTTGTAAATCAATGACAATTCTTTTCATAACCCTTCTTAGTATTGGTTTAGTAAAAATAGACAATCATTATTGCAATATGCCATGGGAATTTGTAGGTATTGTGAGGTTATCTTGTCTATAGCAGACAAGAGAATCCTGTGCATTTTAAGTACACATTGGTATTTCTGTGATCACTGAGGAGTCAGGAGCAGCATTAAACCTGAGTTTCCTGTGCTGCTGCCATCATCTCTGTAAATGCAGACATCTCCTCAGAGAACTTGCAGGAGCTGTGAATCACAGTCACTTTCATTTTTATGTTGGCTGTAAGTTTACTTGTACAGTTTTCATCAGAATTCTTTCTTCATGTTAGATAGTTTGTTCAGATAGTCTAAGCTACTATGATAAAAGGTAAAAATGAGTTAGAAATCCCAAATTAGTGCTGTTGGTCTTGCCCTGGTCAGTGTGTGTCTAGTGAGTGTGCCATTGCTAAGGAGCATTCAGTGCTAGCAGAGGGTATTGCAGATATGGGTACAATGGAGTGCAAAATCAGGATGCTTCTAGAAATGTGTGAATTTAAGATGGACACAATGGAAATAGCCTAATGGTACTTAGATACTGCACTGGTATGAAATGTGACATTTTTCACTAATGCCCAAAAAAAGTTTAAAGACCACAACATCAGCTTCAATAGGATTGAGACTGCCAAACCAATGCTAGATTCTTTTGCTAGTTGTGTCAGCTTTCTGTACTGTGATACTCAGCAGTCTGCCCCAGTTAGTTTTTCTCTGCAGTGAAGGGAAGTTGATTATACTGCAAGTGGAAGAGTAGCCTTAGTAGTTCAGACTCATTTCTTAAAGCACAGCTCAGTAACTGAAGCCCACCCTGCCATGGGCTGTGGGAGCAGATTGGTTTTCAAACACCCCATGGGACATTGGAAGCAGTTATGCTCAAAAGCCAGGACTGGTTGTGGGAGCTCCGGTGTGCTCTGGGGTAGCCAAAAGGCAGCTGTGTTCTGACCATGTAATCACAAGGCTATGACAGAGACTGGAATATTACTCAAGCCATTTGGGAACTTCTTCAATTTCCCTTTCTCCACAGACTTGGGCTCTGCAGGCTTCCTGTTTGTTTTATTAGTACAGCTTTACTGTTCAAAGGCAGCATAACTTGGGAAAGAGTAGGGATCATGCTATTTTTAGCACATGGATAAATACACATAAAAAAGAAAACTCTGTCATGCAAACCTAGCATTTACAAGAGTTAAATGGATTAGAATGACCCGTGTAAAACTGCATATTACTTGTTGAAAGAATCTGGAATTAACAAACTGTCGCAAATAGCATGGTGTGTCCTATAGGTCATGGTGAGATATTTCATCCTGAGATCAATGAGAAGTAAGTAAAATCTGCCAAATGTTTTCATTAAATATTCAAAAATTTTCAAGTAACAATTAACTAGATATTTTTAACATTTATTTTCTCCATGTAGTGCATCTAAAAATAAAGCCCATTTTCATTCTTTCAAATTGAAATACATTCTGGGACCAACACAAAAACTGGCATCAGGGTACATCCAGCCTTGTGAGTCTAAGATAAGAGCTGATTAAGTTCTTTTTAAACAGGAGACAGGGTTAATTTTAAAGGTGGGGATTGCTGAAGAAACTCAATTCCCCTTTCTTTTTTCCCCTTAAATGTTGTACATTTTAAACATTTTAAAAAATCTTTATCATTCTAGTGAAAATCTGTGATTACAGATGTTCATCTTTATTTCAAAGAAATTGCTTTTCAGTAGCAAGGGTCATAGGTTAAGACATTTTTAGGGCTTTTTTTGGTACTACAATCAGCACAACAAACACTATGTTGGTTTGACATCCATCTGTAAATAAAGGCTGTGCCCAGTGCTAGGGGGATCAGCTTTAGTCAAAGTCTTCCTGTAAACAAAATACACAAATAAGCTCAAACTACCCAGGGAAGAAAGCGTAGGCTAATGTGGAAGCCATGAGAAGTATTCTTGGCAAATTGTGAAGTGTGCAGCAACAACTGCAGGTTAGTCAGAACTGCTAAGAGGGACCCTGAAAGAAGCCTGCTGTCCAGGTGCTAGATTTGGATTTAAGAAATAGGCTGTACAGTATCAAACTATATAAAAAGCTTAAAAACCACAATGAGAATATATTTTAAAATTTTTCTTCTATATTGTAAAAATGTTTAAATTACGTCCAAACCACCATTTAAAAAGGTATGAAATGTGCAATTTTGCAAAAGGAAACAAGGGGCACAAGAAAGATTCCATAGGGGTTAATTAGAGTTGCTTTGTGATTTCTTTGTTTCCAGTTCCTTCATACACCCAGTAATCACACAGACCTCAGAGCAGTTCTCTTCAGGCAAGTAGGACATGAGCTAAAAGTATCATCGCTGATTTCAGTAGGGAAGATTGGCTGCAACAAGGAGTAAAAAGCTATTTTAAGAGACAAATGTACAGTACAATCTATTTATGTAAATACTTGGAAAACTCAGGAACAAAATTGTTTCCTAAGTACAGAGCTGTGAAATCAGTGTGCCATATGGAGCTATAATATATGGCAGAATATTTCAAAATCCTAAACCTTCTTGAAAGAAAACTGTTGTAAAAGTCTGCATCTAGAATAAAATGACTACTCACTTGTGTTTTAACTGAAAGCTGCAAAGATATTTCCACATGTACTAAAATTAATATAACTTGATTTTGTTAAAAGGCAGTAACCCTTTTCACTTATTTCTCACAAAGCATGGAGTGTGGAAATGATAATTAAAGGCAAGTGAAACAGATGGCTGTAACATAATTTGTGAGTCTTAACTGGCACTTAACGCTAACTCTACTTTCAATTTGACAAATACAATAAGACACCTATGTTGACATACACATAGTGCACTTAACTACTTTTATTTATGCAAGTGAGGTATTAAAATTGTCTTGAAAAGCAGACATCTAAAGAAGAGTAAATGGTATGAAGAGAATAGTAGTCATTGCTTTCAGTGTTCAACGATTAGTAGTTGTCGGGTTTTTTCTTCCACCATCCTATCTTATAACTTCCATGCAAAGTCTTTGTCTTTCTCCTCCACTAGATAGGTAGCTTGGGAAGATTGGAGGAAATCCACCACTTTTTCAGCAAGAATTAATTATGAAGACTGGTTTTGTTTTTTGGAATGAAGTATAATAAGCTAAAAGTGTGTGCATCTCACACGCTGCGTATGGTACACTCTTAATTTATACACTGTCATCGTACATGTGCATTTTGCATATACACTGATACCACCTTCAGCAGGAAGTTAAAAGTCAATAGATAATGAACCTTGTGCTGTATCTTCCCTTCCTCTGACATAAATTTCACATGGGATCTCCTCCATCACTCTGTCTTCTATCACCTGCTCGGGGCAGTCGTGAGCTTGCTTGAAAGTATAAGTGCTTTTCTTGAATGTGCTGTTAAATGTTTTCATGGGCTGGGGCTGCGCAAAGTCATTGCGGAAGGGCAGTTCCATGGAGCTCAGGTTGGTCCTGCTCTGTTTCATACTGGAGGCCTGGGAGCCACAGTGGTGGTCGTGAATGCATCTGGAAGCTGTCGAAGGGCGGCGCAGTTTCTGATAGTTTTCAAGTTCCTCTGATAAATCTGCCAAATCTGCAGAAATTTCTTTGTCCCTTAGTGAGAACAGTTCATAGTGAGGAGGATCAAAAACTTCCTGGAAACCAGTTTTATTGAAGGCAGTCTTGCAAGCCATAACTTTTTTGCGAGGTTGCTTTACTTGCACTAGAATTGAAATGATGAGAAGAACTAAAACTACCCCTGTTGTGATGCCAATGATTGTCCCATGGGTTTTGGTGATTTGTTCAAACAATCCAGTTCTTTTCTTTTCTGCAAAGAAAAAAAATGATTATGACAAGACATTTATTAGTTTCTACATTTTTGATAACGTATTTAAACAAAGCAAGACTGTATTGTGATTGCCATGCAAGTGATAAAATTACTTAATGGGCCTGGAGACTAGACCTGTATGTCAATGGGATTTGTCTAATTCCCTGTCATTAGTGGCTACCATATGATAATTCAGTGGCAGGTGCAACTCTGTGAACCAGTGCTTGCTGACTCAGCTGGGATGAGCCTTCCATCCTGAACCTTTACTGATGTCTACATTCCTAAATCCATGCGCTAAATAGGCTTAAGTTAACCTTAAATAGGTTAAATCCAGCTACAGATGATGGTTCTCTTACCATGGTTTGCTCCTGCTGGTAACATTCCCAGTGATGTCAGTGGAAGAAAACCTAGACTTAAAAATGTCTCATTCTTCTTTAAAAGTGAAATATTATCAGATATAAGAATGGCTGTACTGTTTTCACATCTCTTGGAAATGTAATGGCTGTGTCTATTGTGTAAGTCAGTTATACCTAATTCATCACAGGGAGCTTTAGCAAAGCTCTTATTCCAGTTCTAAGGGTCCAATGATGAAGTTACTTGGAAAAAAAAAGGTGGGGGATACACAACCAACCCAAATCATCTGGTAATTTTGGCTAGTACTTCATGTGAAAACACACAAGATGGCAGCATCAGAACAAGATGGTTTTCCGTATTTAAAATTCTTATTTGAAGTTTAAAGTTGTCAGTTGGACTTCTGTTCCATGAATGTTCTTGTCCGGGGGACTGAGAGATTTCTACACTGCAACACTGGCTAGTGGGAGAGAAGCATTTAAAACCATGAAGAGAAAATATAGTGGCCTAAATCCTGCATAACATTTTCAGATATCTGGCTCCTGGCATCTGAATATGTGTGTTATGTACCTAAATACCACACACAGTGCATGGGGAGAGGTACACACCATCATGTGTTACTTGAGAAAATCCTTATGCTGAGCAGAGACTCCCAAGGAGTTGGCTAATAAAAAATTACATTTCTGCTGCAGAGCTTGGGCTGTTTCCTTTGAGCTACTTTTTACCTTTGAAGTGAAGGAAGACATCTACCCTTGTCCTGCCTATCTTAGATCACAGTGGTGCCATCCATGGTGGGAGGTATGAATTCACTGCTATGGTGGTTCTCTTGTCTGCATGTAGGATTCTTAATTCTTGGCAGATATTTTAATCAAAAAGTTATTTTGCAAAAGGCGATGTCTTCACCAGTCTCTTAAAATAAATTGCACACAACTGACTTCTCTATCAATTTTTGTGTTACAGGGCTTAGGCATAAGTAGGTCACAATATGCTCAGATTTATGTAGCTATTGATATGGACTAAATGAGAACTCTGGGTGCCTGCAGGAACTGAGCACAATTGTGAGCACTCTCTTTCTAAGGCAAAGAATTGCTTATTTCGTTGCATCAGTCTCCCTTAGCTGGCAGTGTGGATCTAGTCTTCAGCTGTCTCTCAATTTCTGCTGTGCAAGTATTACAGCAGAATTTAGATTGCATTCAACAGAAAACATGATGGGTTATTCAACATCAGATACAGCAATTTACAAATATTGGGAAAGACACAGTTTTTATGGAATTAATTGTTTTAATACTGCAGTACATTAGTGAAGTGTGAATTCAAGGGGAGAATCTAGAAAACAGTTGGTAAAGATGGGAAAGAGATATAGAAACTAAACTTAAAAGGGAATATTGAGTATTATGAAAGGTAAGGATTGTTTAGAGGAAGCTTAGTTTTACATTGCAAACTTGGGAGTTATGGACCAGTTCTGTTGACTGGAAAGCTTCCACAGTATGCCTTACATTAGAATATCTAGTAGTGGTATGAATTTCTTTGTTTACCCAAAATGCAATTAACAAGTAGGGTTTTTTTAATATTTATTTACTTAAAAATGTAAGCAGGATTTTTGCGTTGAAAAGAAATTTTCTTTCAATACTTTCTATAGAGAAGGTTTTGACCTTTTCTTCAGGGTCAGTTTCTCTTTGAAATGGAATACATATTTAAATCTTCTGGAGTTTTGTGTTCAGAGCTATTGTTGCCATTCTATTTGTCAAAACACCCTAAGCAAACAACTTCAAGTGTTTTTGTTCTATTGTTTTCTTTAGCAAGAAAAACTGTTGACCTTAGATTGGTTTTGTTCTAACTCTGACAACTGAGCTGTTCTTGAAGCATGGGAGAATGACTGTGCTTCACACAATAACAATTTCTTCAAATTATGAGAATTTTTCCTACAAAGCCTGATATTGAAACAAGTCTTTATGGTCGTTGTGGTGATTGAAATAATACTCCCAACCCATGTTCTAGAAGCAGCAATTTACATGTGTCTGTATTCCATAAGTGTTTATTTCATGCTCCCTAACAATTCCTCCTTCCTCCCATCCTTTCTCACACCATATACAGCAGCTGAATTTATCCTGAAATAGCCTGTGATTTACAACTCTAAGCAAATGTTTTAAAATTGTCTTTGAGGATTGTTGCTTCTGTTTCAACCCTGAGAGGTTTCTTGTGCTTGAAAACTTAGTTCTGTGTTTTTTCAGCTCTTTATTTTTATCTCCAAAAGGTATTACCTGTCCCTACAATTCTTGCTTTATTAATGTTTAGAAATTGATAGGATGCAACCTCAAAAATACTAAATTCTAGTTCTTACCAAGCTGATATCCTTTTAAAATAGAGAGTATATGCTGAAGAGGAAGAAATTTAGTTAAAAGCAGTAAGATCAATATTCAGGATGCTTACATGTGTCCTGAGTTTAAATAAAAAATTTGGAACACCTTCCTGAGATTAGTAGCATAGCTGTCTTCAGCATATTTCCAGGGAAAAGACATTTCATGACTTTCTTGAAAGGCAAACTGACCAGCCTAGCTCATAAAGGCTGTGGTTTGCACTATATTCACCTCTGCAGTGGTTCTCATCCCAAGGGTATGCACAGTTCTGAATGCCATTGCAGACTAAAGAATTATTGATGCACATGTTGCTATGGCAGAAGTAAGTGTTGCCTGAGCAGGGAGCTGCAGGAGAGAAGAGAAAGAAAACGTTCAGAATTTTCAGTAATTGATGCCTTGCAATAAAACTATTAACTTCCTATATCTGGGGTTTTAACATTCTTCCTCTCTGTTTCAAACACAATCACTTCTCTTGCACGTCACTATCTGATGCTTTTCTCTCTCCATGTAATTGCTTTCAGCAATTTCAGTATTATCAATGCTACAAAACCCATTCTTGCTCCAAAGGGGGAGGGAGCAAATAGAGAGAGTCACAAGAAACAGATGATGGAAGAAGGTTTTAGTATGTTCTTTAAAAACTTAATACTTAAAAATCACATGCTCACTATCAATTATATATTTATTCTGTGGAGCATCTGCTGTGTACATGTTGTGAAGCAGTCCCTGAACATCTGCATTTTCGAGCCCATTACTATCTTAAGGCAAATCAGATTTGAGCTTGTGGAGGACTGTTTCAGTAATTGCAGGAGATTTCAATAACTACAGGCATCTAAAGTCATTCCTGCTTGTGAATCAAAAGCTCTTGGATCCTCCTATTAGAGCTAATGCAGGGATTGAGAGAGTACAGTTTAGCTTTTTATGTATCTATCTATAGATAGTCAGAAATTTGAAGAAAGAAATTAACTAGAAGGCTGCCCCATGTTTTTGTGAGTATTTGTTACAGCTCCTTGACATAAGAAAAAATATATTAGAAAGTAGTAATAATTCTTTTCAGGGTGTTGTATCATATACGTAGGGAATTATTTATAAATTCAGGGCACCAAGAAACCAAGAAATTGGTATTCCCTTTGTTTCAGTAATATGGTATTTTTATGATGGAAATGTCTGTTATTAGTTGAGTCAGTTATACACTAATCAGCAAAGATGTGTGATAGACATTCTACTATTTGGTTTCACAGAAAGAATGTGTTCTTGAGCAGTCTGGATTCTCTGCAACACAACAGGAAACCCAAAGGGTAGAGCAGAGGGAATGACTGCTCCTGAGCACTGCATTGCTCACTTAGTCATTCTGTTAGGCTTGAGAATCTCAATAGCAAAAAGAGGAGTTATGACTAAGAAAAAAAGAACATTCAAACCTTTAATTTTGATTTTGCTTTCCTAAATTAAATATGTATTGTCTTTCCATGGCTTACTCCACTGAAGGTGGGTAACCTACACTCATTGGTTTTAAGCTTTTGTATTTGCTGTTACTGCTTAACCCTGGCAATCTGGCAAGAAGTTCCATACAAGAACTTGCTTTAATTGTAGTGCAAGTATGAATACAGAACATACATCACATTTTGGAACAGTTTATCTATGTAATATCAGTGCTTAAAAGTGTAATAGTAACTATCACACCACTTCCTTGCTGAAATGAGTTGAGAATTTAATTGTTTGGAGAGCAGATCTAGTCTGAAGAGCACTGCTTTAAAACAGGATCATTCCTTCAGAAGGCTGAGATCAGACCCATTCTGTTAGTTATGCCATAATGTAAACATATTCCCTTTCTCATTTTCCTGAACAAGTGAATTTTTTTTACAGTTCTGTATTTGATTGATGAATTCTGCTGTTGCTTCTCCATCTGCCAGCACAGTCTCTATTTTACATGTTTGTGTAGTCCCTTTAAATTTTTGTGGGCATGGCTTTTGTTCATAAAGATGGGACAAATGGACTTATTTTCCTTTTGTTTGTTATTTGGGGAGTTTGAAGTGTAAAAGTCACAATGGTTGATCAATTCCAGCCTAGGACTTCAAGGACACAGCTGATCTCTTCTCATAAGAGCTTTCCAAAAGTGGTGCAATGCTCACAGTGCTCTTTGTATCCAACATTACTCATCTATTGAATCAAGCCAGGAATCAAATACATTGATTTTTCACATTGCTGTTAGCTGAATTACTTAGTCAAACCTGCAAGCAGTGCTAGGTGTGTGTTAGGTGACTGTCATGCACTATTAGTTCATTTATGGAAATCTTTCCAGAAATATTGTTCATTTTCATGGTTGGCTCCATGTAATTACAAATCATTAGCAAGGTAGAAGAGAAAGACAGCTTAACAATCTGAAAATAAGATAAGCTCAGATTCACTTTTTTCAGTTAGAAAAATTGCTTATGACTAGATTATATAAAAATACTTGAAACACTTTACAGCCACATACTTTTCAATGACCCTGTCCAAGAAAGGCAGTATCTCAGGTAAATAACAATAACCACATACCTTTGCAGATGTTCTGCCAATGACTTTTGAGTTGCTTTAAACTCATAAATTTGGAAAGTTATCTACCTTTAGGAGTATTTAGTATTTCAACCTCTTGCATTAAAAACCCCCCACAATGCCCTCCCAAAAAAATCCAAACTCAACAACAACAAAAACCCCACTCCAATAATTATAATATAAATAAACAATTTCCCTGGCAAAGTTCATAGCATTTTCTACATTGAAAGCTAGAATAACTTGCACTAATACCAATGTTAATAATTGTATTGAAATAAAAGCTAGTGGAAAAGCAGTTATCAATTTTTGTAAGCTGTACTTAAAACTGACATTTATTTAAATTCTCAATATCTAAAGTTTATTAAATGCCTCTTGTAGGATAAGCAATAGACTAGCTTGAAACATGCAATTGTTCCTTACTATCATGTACTCAAAGTAAGCCAGAATCTATTTCTCTGATACATATTTGTTACTTTAGAAAGGCTGTTTTATAAAAAGTAGCTTTTCTGCTATGTTAAAATTTACTGTTTTATGGAACAGAACATGAAATCTACCTGTAACCTGTAACCTGAACTTTTGTGCAAGTTAGTGATCAGGATCTCGTTCAGGACTGGCAACAGACATGTTCTGTCAGAAAAGTTATGTTTTTGTCAGCAAATCTGTACTATTTATTCTTCAAGCAGAACTTTCTGAAAACCTTTAGCACAAGCATAGGTCTGATTTCCTGAAACAGGAACATTTCATTTAGCTCTCCCCATGTATCTCAGATCTGCTCTGCAGTTCTGAACTCAATCTGCTTTAGTATCATATAAACAGCACTGCAATGGTTCTGCAATGTGGACAGTGTTGTCCTCTGTAAATATGTGAGGCAACAAAATTCCATTCAGGTACAACACCCTTAGAAGAAAAAAATCTCACAAAAAACCTGCTTTCAAGAAACATCTTAATTTACAATGAGAATAAAGACTATCTCTAACCCAAACAAAAATCCAGATGGCATTTACAACTCAGCTTTAATTACAGGCTTCTTGAATAAACTTGAATTTAACTACTTATCTATGGTTGTGCAACACCACAGGGCTTTGCTAAGGGAGCACACGTGGGGTCCATGAGAGCCAAATGCAGCTGAGGGTAAGGGAGCAGCTTGGCTGGAGGGGCTGCAGTTCCAGACCCACAACTGAAGATAGAGCTGTGTTTAGGAAGGAGAGCAAGACTTTACAGGATCAGGCATGTTTTCTACTCTTCTGAACATCCAGAGTGGCCTTAAGAAGAGCCTGTTGTGCTGTCTGGCAGGGAGCTGGGCACTAGTGGGAGAGCAGGCCTCAGTCCCACTGCTGTCTTTTTGAAATAAGTCTGTGCTCATTTGTAGGGAAGGATGTCTCTTTGGGAGGAGGATGTAGCCTAGGGCAGTATTGCTGAATTGAAATGGAAAATAAACCTTTTAAGAATGCAGGAAAGCTTTTCTTCAGGAACCATGTTAGAAATGTAATAAAGCAATTATCTAATTTACCTGCTAGTATGTGAAGGAAACAGAACCAACCTTTTTCATCTATTCCTGCTGCTTAACATACAGCTGATGCTTTCCCTGAAATACTTGAAGTACCCTAACCCCAGGGGAATTGGCACTTTTAGATCCACTTACGATCCACAAAGGAAGTGAAGAGCATTCTGAAGCGGCTCAGTCTGCTGCCTTCGTCTGCCCACATGCGCACCACCCCCGTGCCCGTCTGCAGCGTCACATCGTTGGCCACCGTGCTGCAGAACTTGGCCTTCAGGTTCTCGATGGAACTGCTCCCATCATACACAGCAACAAAGTTCCTTTTGCATTCATTGGAATGCTCCATTTGATAGTCCAGGAATCGCATGTAGATCTGTTAGAAAAGAGGAATCAATGTCTTTAGGAGAAGAAATACAGAGAGGAGAGTTTTCTTTCTTAGAAAATCTTGGATGTTTTCTTCCCTTACGCATAAATGTAATTCCCAATTCACAACACTTTTAAATTTAGATTTTCTAATTAGATGTCCGTGTGGACCATTACCTGACATTTGTCTTGGGTATCCGTTTCACTTCTCCCTGGTCCCCAAAACAATCTTTATTTAAAAATTTACTTTATTTCTGATCCCTTTGGAAAAGCACTACCAAGCAACACACTTGGTGAAGAAACCCTCAAGAAGCTCTGCTAAATGTGAAGTCTGTGTCTCTAGAAAGAGATGTAAGGAATGCATAAATGTACTGAAATAATTTTTTAAGTATTTTTTCTGTTCTCTTTCTTTCTAATTCATAAAAACAATGTTCAAATATAGGGGAAGGAGTCTAGTCAGAAAAGCTCTGAAGTAAAATAAGGAAATTAAAATTTATTGCTTCAGAATGAAAGCTAATTACTGAACCATAGCTGTGTTATGGAAGACACAAACCATGAAGTCAGGAGTAATTTGAATAAAAATGGAAATGAGAGAGAAGTAAGCTGGCTGTGTAGGAAGAATTAATGAATTTAAGCTAATCTTAATACTTCTAAAAGCAGAAATCTAATCCAAGAGAAGGCAGCATATGTATTAGAACACATGCAGCAAGGAAATTAGAAGATTGGGATGGTATTTAAAGAGGAAGTAAATAATTTATTTTGCTGGAGCAGGAAACTTGTGCAAGATTGTAATTTGGTTAAAATTACATTAACACATCAAAAGGCTTTTGAAATTCTTCAATGACTGTATTGGAATTTTCAAAATTCTTCTGCAAATTTTGAGATGCGAAGCCAAGCCACTTAAGCACACTGCAAAGGCCATTTTACACTTCAACAGTTCTTAGATAGCCACTGTGTTGCCAGAGAAGCAGTGTGTGCCCAGGTGGAGGCTGGGGTGCTGCTCCCCGAGCCCTCCTCTGTGTTCTGGGCAGAGCTCCTGCCCAGGGCTGTGTGCATCTGCCCGAGGGCTAAGCCCTGCCCAGGGCTGTGTGCATCTGCCCGAGGGCTAAGCCCTGCCCAGGGCTGTGTGCATCTGCCCGAGGGCTAAGCCCTGCCCAGGGCTGTGTGCATCTGCCCGAGGGCTAAGCCCTGCCCAGGGCTGTGTGCATCTGCCCGAGGGCTAAGCCCTGCCCAGGGCTGTGTGCATCTGCCCGAGGGCTAAGCCCTGCCCAGGGCTGTGTGCATCTGCCCGAGGGCTAAGCCCTGCCCAGGGCTGTGTGCATCTGCCCGAGGGCTAAGCCCTGCCCAGGGCTGTGTGCATCTGCCCGAGGGCTAAGCCCTGCCCAGGGCTGTGTGCATCTGCCCGAGGGCTAAGCCCTGCCCAGGGCTGTGTGCATCTGCCCGAGGGCTAAGCCCTGCCCAGGGCTGTGTGCATCTGCCCGAGGGCTAAGCCCTGCCCAGGGCTGTGTGCATCTGCCCGAGGGCTAAGCCCTGCCCAGGGCTGTGTGCATCTGCCCGAGGGCTAAGCCCTGCCCAGGGCTGTGTGCATCTGCCCGAGGGCTAAGCCCTGCCCAGGGCTGTGTGCATCTGCCCGAGGGCTAAGCCCTGCCCAGGGCTGTGTGCATCTGCCCGAGGGCTAAGCCCTGCCCAGGGCTGTGTGCATCTGCCCGAGGGCTAAGCCCTGCCCAGGGCTGTGTGCATCTGCCCGAGGGCTAAGCCCTGCCCAGGGCTGTGTGCATCTGCCCGAGGGCTAAGCCCTGCCCAGGGCTGTGTGCATCTGCCCGAGGGCTAAGCCCTGCCCAGGGCTGTGTGCATCTGCCCGAGGGCTAAGCCCTGCCCAGGGCTGTGTGCATCTGCCCGAGGGCTAAGCCCTGCCCAGGGCTGTGTGCATCTGCCCGAGGGCTAAGCCCTGCCCAGGGCTGTGTGCATCTGCCCGAGGGCTAAGCCCTGCCCAGGGCTGTGTGCATCTGCCCGAGGGCTAAGCCCTGCCCAGGGCTGTGTGCATCTGCCCGAGGGCTAAGCCCTGCCCAGGGCTGTGTGCATCTGCCCGAGGGCTAAGCCCTGCCCAGGGCTGTGTGCATCTGCCCGAGGGCTAAGCCCTGCCCAGGGCTGTGTGCATCTGCCCGAGGGCTAAGCCCTGCCCAGGGCTGTGTGCATCTGCCCGAGGGCTAAGCCCTGCCCAGGGCTGTGTGCATCTGCCCAAGGACTCTGGGACCCCTGCCCAGGTGGGGTGCAGGAGGTCAGGGCAGATGAATCCCACTCTTGGGTTTTAGAACCCAGTTTGCTTCCCCTTTGCCATAGCTCGCTACCAGCCACCTCTGAGAGGCCAAAGAAGATACTTTCCTCCCCATTCCTACTCCTATCAGGCTTTATTGAAAACATGGGAAAAGAGGAAGACAGGTGACAATTGCACCCCGTGGCTTTTGCTTTCCAGTGCTTCCATAGGCAGGTTGGCCAGCACAGCCTTCCCTTGCACATTCTGTTTAAAGGTGCAGCCAGTGCCATATTAGCTCATGCTTCACCTCACTGTTTTGTGGTTTTCAGCATACGTATTTTTTATTTTTTTCTATTTTCCCTTTTTTTCCCCTCCTGCTGTTTTTGTTAGGATTTACTGCTGGAAATTCTCAGCTACATTGAGAACCTGTTTTCCATTGATGACTTATATCAAAAACATGGATGTGAGCTGCAATTGCTAGTATTTGGACTGAGAGATGGTATTTTCCTTTAGTGATTGACTTTATATATCTACTACAAAATTACAATGGAAACTAAAAATAATTTAGGACACTTTTAGTAAAGCTATTATTTGTATGATAACAAAGGAATAATCCATTAAAAGTGCTCACCTCTTCACAAGCTCCTTTGGATTAATGTGCTAGGCAAGTATAAAAGGTTCTTACTCTTACATTATATTGATTATTCTGGTAATTTTATGAAATCTGCACGTAATTTATTAAGTGTCTGCTATACATGTTTTAAAAGTACTTTCATTGCTGGACTTGCGTCAGTTTTAAAAGTTTATTTTTATTACAAAATCAAATTGAGGAATTTAAAAATGTCTATGCTTATTTTTCTCAAGAGACTGCACTGTATCAGATCTAATGGATTTTATCATCATCATTCTGCCTGAATTGAAGCTTGAGAAACCACTGTCAGAATACTAAGAATTATTTTTCTGTAATGTTTTAAATCAATAATTTAGGATGATGATCTAATTTCAGGACTCACCCAACTATAACTCTGCCTTCTGGCAACATTCAATAATTTATTAAAATACTTAAGCACAAGACCTAGTGCACTCAAGTAGCAACGTAGAGAGAAAATGGGTTTGTTATTGTTTCTGGAAGAACTGTGTCTATTACTTAGACTAGTATAGGGCTTTTGGGAATTGACTCACTTCCTCAAAGGCTCAAATATATTAATGGACTTTTAATTTCTTTCATGTCTTATCCTCTTATCATCTTTTTGGTTACTGTTTTAGAATGCGCTTGCAAGGTGGTTAACAGGGCTGGTTAGTTAAGTGTTAGCAGTGTGTAAGTAGGCAGAGGGAAGGTTTGTTATCTTGGCAGCTACTGCTTCAAAATATTTTTTAATTTTTATGTATGTGCAAGCAGAAGCAAAATTAAAGATGTATATGCTCTATGGAGAAAAGTATGTGCTCTTCTGTGCAATGTATTTAACAAATATGATTCTGAAACGAATATGATTCAGGCTTTAGCTATTGTATTTTGGGGTTGTGAATAGGATTTTATCCTGCTGTCTGCCTAACAAGGTAAAGCCTTTCCATTTAGCTCAGACTGCTGATGAAAGCGGGTTTCAAGGTACTGGATTGTGATTAGATGGGAGAAGCAGGCACATGTTTTGTTGACTTTGAACAGAACCAAATTCTCCAATAGAACCACTGGAGGCAAAACATTAAGTTTTGGCAGTGAGATTTACTGGAAATTACTGAAGATGTCAGCCAGCATTTTTGCCTGCAGTCTTCCAATAAAACCAGGATCCAAGTCAAATGCCCCTGAAAATTGTTGCTTAAACAGTTCTCACAGTTATTTGGTATTTGAAGCTTCAAATAACAGGAAGCTAGCACTATGGACTTATATAATATTTAAAATTTAATTTCAGAAACAATTCTCTCTCTGGATTTCCTAAGCCACTGCTACATGACTCATTGCAGTGAGGTACAACATTAGTGACCATTACCTGTTGCTACTGCCATGGAAATCCATTATACACTCAATTATATGAACAAAACCCACCTTAGCATTTGGAGTGGCTTTAATTGTCCAGATACAGTCAACTGCTTGTCCTGGTTTTGTTTTTCCTTCTTGTTCTACTTGACTGGAACGTACTATTCCATCAGCTCCTGAGAGCTCAAATTGGCAGTCTAGGGAGAACACAGACCTTGCTGTCAAATGCAATATGACATTAATTTAAAATTTCATGTATAAAGAAATTGTTACTATAATACTATACCTGGGATGGGATTTAAAATACCTCCTAGGTAAGTGAAGTCAGGATCTGTAATAGAAAGAAGTCATGAATCACAAGGGCTATCAGTGCTTGAGAATCACTTCAAGCTTTAGTATTATCTGCAGATTATGTCCATTTTTTATTATGTCACAAAAAAATTGCCAGAAAGTTTACTGAATCAATTGGAGCATATAGAGATAAAGTTTTTTTAGATGAGAACATTATTCCACAAAGATTGACCTTATCTGAAAAAGGTAATTCTACCCTGACAGCTCAGATTTCTAGCATAACACCAAAAATTACTATTTAGTGTTTTGTTCCTACATTATATTCTGAATTTAACTACGTTAGTTTTCACTGAAACTGCTATAGTTCCGCAAGGGTACAGGGGATCTTTCTGTGTGCAAAAAGCTTATTTAGATTTATTTTATCAGACTGCTGTCTATGTAGTTCTGAACAATTTGAACTGACCTTAGCAGAATATATCAACACTCAGAAATTGCTAACTGCTCTTTAAAAAGTATGGGAAGAAGGCTGTTCAATACTAAAGGTACTTTTCCCTGGGTTATCTGTGTCTCTTGTATTAGGCCACTTAGAACAGCTCTAGAAATGGTTTATGAAATGCTGTTCTATCCAAAGAAAGCACTAGTTCATGCAGAAGTGCACACTGGTTTGGTACAAAGTTCTTTTCCAAATGAAGGTCCAGAATTTGGCTCCTTCTGTGATCCTATAATTTATTTTTTCTGTATAGCAAGTGCATCACTTCCCCTAGAATGCCTCAGTCCTGAGCTTAAGACTCAGCACAGCTCAGAACATGCATTCTTTGTCCTCCTCTTTTTATTTACCTACAGTGAAAATCTATGATCACTGTATGCAAAATTCTGCAAGGTTTTAAACCTTCTTTGCAAGCTGATTTTTTTTATGAAGCAGGTGTATGTGCATATGTTCCCTTTCATTTTCACAACCGTAAAATATTTTACCACACTTCATCTAAACAAAGAGGAAGGAAAAGAAAAATATCTGTCCTTCAGTTGTTGTAATCTATTGTGAAAATAATATACAATTTAAATGTATATTTAAAGTTCCATCCTGCAACTATGGTAATTTAGTTTTGAAAGTGATGTCAATGAAATGGCTTTGGAAATGGACTTAGCAAAATGCATAAGTACTGTCCCTGTGAAAACACTTCATCATGTAATTGCCAATGGTCTGGTCACCATGTTAATCTGAAATTTCTGAGTCTAAATCCCTAAGCAGTAATATATAATCATGAATTGTGTTTTCATGTGCTCTAGGGGTAAAGATAACATTAAGAAGTCATGTTTGTGTATACATTTATGGAAGTAGTAGAGCTGACACTTGTATATTGCCTTTTGTCCCAAAGGACAATAAAATGCTGATAACTACATGTGTAGTATCTATGAAGTACAGTAGTCAAGCATTGCACAAGGACATCAGGTCAAGTTTTCATCTAAGAAGGATGCCCTGCCAGGTTTAAGTAGCTACACAGAGCAGATGTAATTTTTGTTTGTCTAAAGGCACTGTCAGCATGCTGTCCTCTCCTTTGCACCTGTGAACTACACAGCACTCTGATCAAAGAGCAGCTCTATTGTCTGAGCCCAAGGGTTGAGGGAATCCAGTACACCAAGAGCTCATGCTACACTGGGCAGATATTTGCTCTGGGTTTTCAGAATGGAGATTTAAAACGTTTTGCATCTGGGTGGAGTGCTATTGTAAAGTTGGCTCAGGTGTTTTTGTCCAGTGCCTTACACTCCTAGAAGAGGCTGGTGTAAAGGCAGCTCTGTATGTTGTCTTTCCTTTCCTACCACTGGTGAAACTGGTACAAGTAGAGAAATAAGAAGGTTGCTGCTGAAGACTTCAGCATGAACAAGCTCAGCTGTCTTCCTCACTAGCAAACTACAGACCTGCAATTTCCTTCAGTCAAGATTCCCCAGTTGTTTTTAGCCATGTGCCCTGTAGGATTAGCAGGACTGAGACTGTGGCTATCACATTGTCACTGTGCCTCTGTAAGTGCTCATGCTGAAATGCAGCTCTAGGCTGAGAGGACAAACACACCCACAGAGCTCAATGGGAGCAGTCATTAACACTGTCAGAATTTTAGACATCTTTACCTGGTATAAATGAGTACTTTGCTTGAAATCCCTTTCCTTCCAGCTCCTCATCAGAAATAAACTTGATCCACATAAATCTCCCTGTTGATCTAATTAGCGCAGGACTTTTCAGACCACAGTAACGATTAATGAGAGGGGAGAACCCAAAAGGTCCATCTCGAACCTCCAGGTGATCAAACCGACATTCAAATGAGGGTTCTATGTAATAAGGTTCATCAAAGGTCAACTCAATTCTTTGTCGTGGAGCAGCTAGACATAAAAAAAAAAATTGAGCAAAAGATTAAATGTAGATCTTGATAAAAAACACAAAGACATGAATGAATGAAGAGACAGGCCTCCAAACCAGCAAGATAAAAAAGAAACTGGAAACTTCTCAAAACACATCTGCAGTCTGCTACAAAAATTTAAAAAATTATATTCTAAAAGTTACTTTTGCATAGAATCATACAAAATTTTTTGCTTGCTGATCTTAATTGTTGCAAATTAAGAAATCACTTTAATTTAATGCAGCACATATAACATATATTAACATATATACAAAGGTATTCAAACAAGGTTAAATATTAAGATATAAATTAAAACAAGTGTTCTGTGAAAGCAAAATACATAAAAAAGGACAAAACACTGAGCTGTGCAGAAAAGAATGGAAAAGAGAAACATAGGCAGAACTACTCAGTATTTCTTAAAGTCCAAATTTGTAGATCTTTTCACAGAAGACATCTTTTATTAGAATATTCAGAGAAGTGTAAGTGCTTCATATATGTCAGTGATATGCAGGTGGCTACAGATGTTGGTGAGTCTGAGCCTGTGGCAGCCTAACACCAGGACTGGGATCAGAGCCCCAAGCCCTGACTCTCACATCCGTGGTTTGGATCCCAAGACCTTCTCGCGTATGAATGGCTTCAGTGTTCCTCGTTCTTGGCACTGGCTGTGCTGCGTGAACTTCCCGATCCCGGCTGGGGTCTGGAGTGACAGCTCTGAGCAATCGCACGCTGCCCGCTTGTCCTGAATGCCAAAAGGATTTACCCTGGCATCTCCAACCCTCCCGGCAGACCTTCTGCCTCACTCACAAGAGCTACACGCATTCGAAGCTGTTGTGAATGTTGGCAGAGGTCTGCATGAAGGAGACTAGAATTTCTTGGCTAGAAATTCTGGAGGGCCTTGGCCCCGCTCAGGCACCCACAGTGTTTGTGTGGAAGGACTGGGGAGAGCTGGAAGCTGCTCCTGTGCCCCAGCCCTGCAGCAGGGCAGGCTGGCTGCTCCCTGGGGCACTCCTGGGCAGGCTAGGTGCAAAACCAGGATGTGCATGGGAACAAGCAAAAAGGAGGGGCCTGTGAGCCACTACTGTGCTGTACAAATAAAAACTCATCAAACCTCATTACTTGAAATATTTCAATTAATTGATATGAATCTGATGATTAGGCTGGCTAATATTTTTAGCTGACTTCAGTGGGGTTTGGGTGCATTCTAATAAGAGGAAAAATAATTGGAGTGTCTCAAGTCTTGCAGCCTTTATTTAAGATATTCTCATTGGAATATGGTTTTATTCTAGTTAATGACATTTTTTTTTGTCCTCATCACATTATTTTAATAGTGACCTCAGCAGTGCTAACAAATCTCTGTATTTTTAGTACAGTACTATGGCAGCCAGATATATCTTTTTTATTAACGAAGGACAGCATAAAGGTTTTCTGCTGGTGAGATAGAACATTGCAGCTTGGTATGAAATAGCCTTCATCTTGTGCAATCTATTATCAGTGATATTAAGGTAACAAGCTACAATTTTTATCTTACTAATTCCATATCTTCATAGATTACAGTAGATATGCTGCTCCTTTTCCTGGCTGTGAGGGTATGTCTTATTCTACATAGTTAATTTCTTAATGTTTGCATTTCATATTTATTTGTTGTGATTACTTGAGAGAGAAAATTTAGCTTCCTGTTCAAGTAAATGACTACAGAATTCATTATATTACCAGTACGGCCATGCAATACTTTACAGCAGGGTAAGATGACAGTTTAACAGCTCAAGATTTTCCATTTAACAGTAAGATTACAGCAGAACAAAACAGAAATGAAGCATGTACCTTCTAAGATATAGATGCACTCTTGATTGGGTGGGTACATGTTTGGGTAGTTGGGTGAAGCAAAATGTCCTCCATTACTGGTCCGGACCCAGTTGTCACACGGAGTGGGAGGAATGCGATTCACTCCAATATTTTGCCCACCTTAAGCAAAGAAAAAAAAGTGATCAAATAAGTTTCTTCTGCAAGCATGCAGATTTGATAAAGTAAAATTTTGGCATGACACATAGCCTATCAAGAAGAAAGTAATTTATTTTGGTTGCAAGCCCTCTTGTAAGGCACTCATTAATATCTATCTAAGAAAATCTTATGTTTAATTTTGTGGTGGGGTATATCCTAAAGAAATCCGGTTTTGAATACCAAATATATATAGAGATCCTTGGAAAGGAGAGGGAGTATTTTTTTTTTACCCAACTCAGTTCAGACTTTTGATACTCTTCTTTCTAAGTGAAATAGTCACAGTGGCTGCCAATACTATTATTTTATGGGTTATGTCATCTCTGTTCCTATGTAAATATAATCAGAAATGTTTGTCAGCTTTCACTGGTTTTGACCCTGATTCCAGATTATGCAAAGGTGGGATAACTATTTACAGTAATTTGTTGGAATACAGGATGTTTGTAACAGAATGAATTTCAATATGCAAATTCACTAAATACAGCAATGGTAGTTAATAAAATTCCTAGATTGCCCTGGTAGCTAAGGGTCTCATTTAGGATCAAAGCTCCTCTTCTGGATGTACAGGGAAATGTGTTCTGTGACTGAGATTATGCAGTTTAGTAAGGTAATTCTTCATGCTGAATCATTCACAGGGCTTGGTTCACATTTCCTCATCCATGGAGAAGAGGTTGGGAATAGTGTGATCTCTGACATTCTTCAGTACCTTTGGCCCTTTTCCTTCGTATCCACAGAATTGGAGAGAGTAAGACACAGGACATGTATTTTCTGCTAGATATTTCTTAAATCTCACAGGGTACTCTCATAGTGTTATTTATATTTACACAGTTTTAATTTGCAGACCTGTGAGAGGACATCCATGCTGGTACAGGTCTTAGATGCCTCCAGTAAATCACATCACCTTCCACTCGTACCTTGACAGCTTTTTGATTTATGGGGGTGAAAACTCTCTCTCTTCTGCAGAAATTTTTCAAGGAAATTCTGTAGGTGGCAGTTCAAGGAATTCTTCTCTCTTAAGTGCGGGTAATCCCACATATGAAAAAATAAGGTTTTTGAAACTGATTCCTTCCCCACTCAGCAGGCTTCAAAAATGTTTGTGGGTGGACTATTTGAAAAGCTTGTTGTTAGATACAGAAAACATGAATTTCTGTGGTGCTTTCTCTTCCACCGCTACCATCTGAAACTGTAGAACTTTAGCTGGGAAAGTGAAAGTTCCATGTTCTTTGTGACTGCATGGCTCTGTTCATTTGGGAGAAAATGCAGCAAATGGGGGAAAATGGAAAATCCTGCAATTCATACTGGTAATTCAAGAGCTATCCATATCTGAATACAAACATTTCTTTTCACTTATATTGCTCAATTAAAAGTTATAAAACTGTTCCATTTTTTAAGAGAAAATCGTCAAACTAAAATTGTACCTTGTGTCTTCTGTGCGACGGCAATGCCTTCCACTACCAGGATTGTTACAAGCAACACTGATGAGAGAAATTGGACAGGAAAAACATCAGTAATATTTCAAAATTACAGACCATTTTCTGCAGTCCCAGTTCATGCAAATCCTGGCGTCACTGACCAAAACCATTCAGAACATACAAAAATATGTAAATTATTTATGTGTTTTCTTTAAAATTTCAACTTATGAAACTGGTGCAGTCTATGTGCACTGCTGGTCCTTCTTCGAGGTTCCTCAAGAAAGTGTGTATAAGAACATCAATTCATTGTTTGAGGGGACTTTTAAGAATATTTTCTAGAGTTTACATGGCATCTGTTGTCTATAAAACTTTTATATCCTGAAACAAGATGTTTCACTGCTGTAATGAATCATATTTACCCTAAAACTCTATTTGCATAATGCGGGAAAAGACTTCTCCGGCTTCCAAGAAATTAATCTGAACCACAGGAGACACAGCATGGTCTTAACCCCTCCACAGAAATCACAGATTTGTGCTTGCAAGACTGGTTGTTGTGATGCTGCCACACACACAATACCAGTGATTTCTGCAAATGATGAGGCAGTAGAAAATGGGCAGATGGACAGCCTCCCTCTGTCTTTCCTTCCTTTCTGGCTGTTTTACTTTTGGCCTTTCCCTTAGATTTACACATTCCCTGTATCCAAGAAGCATCCATATGAACAGCATGTATGAAAAGCTCCATATTCCACAGTCCATAAGCAATTTTAAAGCAGCCTTAATGTTTAGATTTTCCTAAAATGCTTTGTCAACTTTGTCACTTCAAATTGTTTAGGATTACCAGGAGGGGGAACGAGAATGAAATAGAGTAAATTAATATGCCACTCTTCAAACCTTTCATTTGCCTGCATCTGGAGTGTCTCAGAAATTCTGTCCACATCTCATCAGAACTACCTAAGCAGGCCTGGACTGCCCTGGACAGAAGGTGGCTGAGGGGAGACAGGACACAAGTTACAAAACCACAAGTATCACTGAGATGGAGAACTGAGCAACTACTGCTTGTCTCTTCCAGTAGAGAACCAGGGGGTGTCAGACAAAGTGAGCAGGTGGCATGTTCAAATTAAACAAAGATTTTTTCTTTTTTTTTCTTTTTTTTATGCACATTATTCATAATGCATCCTTGAGGTAGAAAATTCTGCTTCAGAAACGTCTTAAGCCCTTAAGCCATAAATTGTTGGAAGTCTGGGATGTATTTGGGATAAATATAATTGGCTCTACTTTTATACTCATTCTGCTTTTATATCTCTGTAAAAGAAGATACCAAGCAAGATGGACCTTTGATGTGACCTGGTATGGCCCTTCCCATGTTCTTAATCTACTTGTCAGGCAGGTGTGGCCTTAGCACTGCAGGGCAAAAAAGAGATTTCAGCAGGAATTTTATTGTCACTTTCAAGAAATTAATTTTATTTTCTCAGTCTTCCTGCCTTGTTGCTCAGGCATTTCAGTGGCTCAGTTGAAATGGCATTTTTTCCATCTGTGCTTTTCCCTGTGTTGCTGTTGGACTTTGAGCCCTTTGGAGTTGCAGAGTGAGCATGCACTGACTATGAACCACAGCAATCTTGACTCAACTCATCCAGATGCTCCTCTAACGCTGGCATGGATACATTATCTTGGGAAAAGATCAAAGTCTGCTCCTGAAAGTGTCTATCTAGCATTTATGTTTTATTTTGTATGTTTCTGCTGCCCTTTCTTCTCTCTACCCATACTGAAGTAGACTGTGTTTCATTCTGAAACTTTCCTCACCAACAAATGCTTTTTCCTGTGTAAGTCAGGTTCATAACTGTGGGTGTTTTCTAAAATACCATATGGGTCTTGAAAACAAGTGCTATGTTCTTAGAAGCTTATTTGATTTTTAGGGATGGATTATGTTAGAGTAGGTGAAGATTTAAGTAGTTTTTCAATTTCCATCTTTGCAATAATTCTGCACTTTCATCAATATTAATATACTTAAAAATATATTATCTGTCATTATCCAAATACAAAGCAGATGCTGCTAATCATTACTGACTCACCCTAGACTGAAAATTCCTCCTTCAGAAGAAAGTATCTAGCACCCATTACTGATATTCAGTTATGGATGTTCACTAGTCTTTAAAGCAAATGAACAAATATCCCATCTTTATTAACATATGATTGACATTAGTTTTCAGCTGGTTTTAGTTTTTACTATTCCTTACATAGATGATATTATTTCACCATTATTTACAGATTATTTTTGCAGCTCTCTGTTTAAACTGTACACCAGAACATCTGAGTTTATGGGTTGCATGAACTCACAATGCATTTGAACTCCTGAGATCACTTGTCCCTAAAAGAGAATCTTTAAAAGAGAATCTTGACAGTGGTTATAAAGTTGTCAATCTCTTGTCTTTGGTTTTTGTGTTTTTTTTTTTTTTTTTTTTTTTTTTGTGCAACACTTCAATGTTGACTTTTATTACTAAAGTAAAGGCAGTTTCCCCAGTCCCGTGTAAGTCATGTCTCAGCATATTCTATTGAATTCACCTTTCTTAAAGACGTGCTAAGCCCGCCCTCTGTTTTGCAAGGACAGAGCAAGCTCTGTGTAACTTATGCTGCTTCTCAAAATGCAAAATGAGCTTTGACTTTGTTTCTTAAAGCAAACACACAGAGAAATATGAGTGAAATTAACATGTGACTAGCAAAACAAATGCAAACAGTCACTTTCAAGTAACAGTGAAAAATTGAGGGTTTGTTGGTTTGCTTTGGTTTTTATTTAGTACAGCTCTTTACTATGGCTACCACTGTTAAAATACTTTTTTTTTTAAATTTCATTATGTATGTACATTTATTTCAGTGATTGTAGTGGTGGAAACAACATAAGAATAGATGTTCTGTTACACTAACCATTGATTTCCCTCCTTCCTGATGTGGATAAAGAAACAACCCCCCTAAAAGGACTTCAGAAAGCCTGATTGGCTTTCACTAGAGCTGTACTGTTTCTATAAATAGTCCAGTGCCTGTATGCATGTAAATGCAAACAAACAGTGCCTATTCCTTGCAGAGCAGCATGGATATACAGGCAACTGCAGAAGATATGCATTGAATGTCTGTCTTGCTGTCTTCCTTTTGTCATGTTATATGGATGACTGGGAAGGTATGGGCCACTTTCTCTTGGTTCCCTGCCCTTTCCATGCTCTTCAGTTTTAATCTCTTACACCTTGTTCTTGCCCTTCCCTGGCAATGCCCATCCTTCTCATGCTCTCAACAACCCTTAAGATGTATTCAGAGTAGCCCAGGCAGCAAACATTCCAGAGTCTTCCTTTGGCACTACTTTTATCCTGGGTGAGGGTCTGATAAAGAAAAGAGGTGTCTCTGGCTAATGGTCTGGATGTGCACTGTCTTCATCTGCTGGCAAAAAGGTGAACAGGACTTACCTGCTCTTCCTCAGAGTACTGGGCAGGATTGCCTGAGGTAGCATTGCCTTAAACTGAGTGCACTGACATGACACAGTATAATGTGGGAAAGCCAACAGGAGTTAAGGGGCTGAAAACAAGATCTATCAATACTCAGCATGAAAAGAAAAGGAAAAAAAATAATCAGTCAGGATATTTTTAGACCTTTCAGACTGTTTCCATTAACCCATTTTTGTGCGCATTTTAAAAACAACAAAGCAATCTCTTGGTGTCCCAAATTTATACTACTTCCTGGAAAAATAATTTTGAATCTCAAAGACTAATTTGGACAGTACAAATCTATAAGGAGGGAGATGTCTAGGGAAGAGACAAATCCTGGAAGCTGGTGCAGTAGAGAGCAAGTGCTGAACCACTGTCCTGGTACTGCAGCAGGGACACAGTCACAGCAATGAGAACAGATATGAGAGACTGAACCACTTTCACTAAAAGTCTTGTAGCACTTCCAGAAGGATGAAGAACGATCTTTTTATTTCTAATAAACTGCAATTCAAATAGTTATTGTGCTTGAAATGGGACACAGTATTCCTCTGCTCCTTTTTTCCTCTTTTAAAGTCTCTTAAGGATCTCTCTGACATGACTATTCTTCAGTGTGGATGAAAGATAAGTCTAGGTTTAGCTCCATAGTCTATTATGGTACAGGAAGCACAAATAGTGAGTAAAAATGCCACTTGAACATGGCTTGCTGATGTAAGCAACAGCACACTGCAGGATTGCATGGACATCAAAGGGATTCAGAGGGAGAGTTGGGTGTTTTGTTTTTACTGGAGGAGTATGATGAGAATTCTACCAGAGGGGCCTGAACTGTGGGACACTGACCTTATGAACTTAGAGATACTTAGGTGATAAATGTAATAAAAGTTATTGCTTCTGCACCTTCCAGTGAGCTTCCCCTTCATGATCTGTACCCTGCAGAAGAGGCCATGCTTAAGCCAACAGCAGCACGCACACCGAGGCAGAGATTGAGGAGCTTCTTTTATTCATGAATCTGGTATTTGTACTTGTATTTCATGAATTATGGTGCACACTCTTGTACTGCCATTTAGAGCTCTGATAGTTTATACCTGTGTGAGCATGAACTAGGAACATAGAAAAAGTAGCCAGCTTCTGTCTGTTTTTAAAAGAATGGATTTTTCATTTTCTTCACTTCTTTGCATTAAATATTTTAGATCACATAGCCTGCAGACAGCTGTATAAATTTTGAAAAGTGAAGACACTAAACATACAATTCAAGTTCCTAATATTCTGTTGCTGAAGTAGGCTTACAGAATAACATAAAAGAAGCCCCTGAACTGGTGTAATAAACTGCCTTGTTTGCAGAAGTCAAGATGTTCTTTGTTGGCATTTCCTAAATTTTTTAAAGTAAATCAAAGCTAAAAAAGAAAAAAGAAGGTAATTTCTGCATTGGAGTAGATATAGGGAGGTTCACAAATGTGTGGCTCTTACTTCTCTTTAAAAATGAGAATAATATATTTAGTTTTGCAGTAAATGGGTGCTCAACCCAATACTGAGAAATCAGCATGTTGCTTAGATAAACAAGTGCTTTAGGCTGCAAATCTGACATATGCTTGTACTTTA